ACAGCATTTTTCATGGTGGCACGGCATCCAAATACTTATTACAAAATACTTATTACAGATACTTACTACTTATTACTCATTACAGTTGTATTAGTGCATGGCTTGAAGTTGATGAACTGCGTCAGTTTCACGTTTACTTTCGGTTTACTCTTGACCCGAGTATCACTACCATTTTTGCTCTTCTTGAAGTTCATCCGACTTCCAATAAAAAATCGCTTATTCCGGGTCTTGAAATGCCTTGTTCGAAAAAAATTTGGTGGGACTGTCTTTTCCCATACAGTTTGAATGGCAGTGAACCAGACTGGAAAGTCTTTATTCTTGCCAGTATGTTTGATACAGCCGCAGTTGTTTGGAGGGAGTTCTACTTTGGTGTTGAGCGGATGGAGACATTCGTTCAACACACGACCAAATCGTGTAAGCCAAGAGTTGGTCACACGTGACTCTCATTCGGATTGGACATGGAGATATCGATCGGTTTGTGATGCTCCTAATGACCGATTAGGATAGTGTGGAAAGCTGGCAAGGAAGAACCAGCAGCTTTCCAGTTACGTCCTTCAGTAAAAGAATTCGAAAATAGCGCTGTCTTTCAATAAAAGTCAAAATGGTCAGTGAATCTACCCGGTAAGACGAATTCCGACGGCACAAGTGTGTCCTTGAGGCTAGCCGTATAACTGGCTATGAGCAAGATGTTGGCAGAACGTTCCTTCACATCCAGTGTCTGGCTAAGAGTGCACGAAGCTTTTACGTCTCTTTATTCCCTTCAAAAAAGTCTGACCAACTGGTCGCCTAAAGAGGGTGTAGGAGGGCGTGCGGAGGCGCAGAGAGTGACATAGGATTTGGCTGTTTACTTCGGCCCAAGCTCTGCGCGCTAAACGTAGAGTCCTCAGTATCCCTCACTTGCATATTTTCATGAACAACATGCATTTAAAACCATCGAGTGCCTCAACTTCATCGCGTCAGTACCGATAGGAGACTTCGCATGAGAACTCATTGTAGAACGTGAAAATGAAATAAGTAGTATAGTAGAGCAGGTAGACATGTAGTAGTGGTGGAAACAGCAGTGAAACTTATTACAACGCGATCTGCAACACGGATGACAGATGCGTTCCTTCAAAACTTTTGTGCACAGAGGAATTGTTGATTAGGTTTGATCAGCATGCCTTGCGTTCAGTGGTAGCGAACAGAACGAAGGCTTTGGATCGCTGCGTTGACCTCCCTACTTTATAACCGACGGTGCGTGCTCCCTCGTTGAGGCAGTATTTTGTGCCGATATTGAACGCACAGTGTAGAACATATTTCGTCAGGCATTTCAACAGGCGTCCGCTGGTTTCTTGCAAACTGGCCAAGTGTAGCACATTTTGGTGCTCAGTTGAACTGCCTCCAGAAGGAAGCATGAGGGCTGGGATACCTTCAACTTTCCCAAGCCTAGACAGAGGAACTTAGGAGGCGGAGGTTGGGTTCAAACAACTGCCTCCGAAGGAAGCATGAGGGCTGGGATACCTTCAACTTTCCCAAGCCTAGACAGAGGAACTTAGGAGGCGGAGGTTGGGTTCAAACCTTACTCTCTAACTACTGGACCATCTCACTACGCTCATGTAAATGAGATGGAACCGGCTGCTTACGCGGGTGAAATATAGCTCTGGGGAACTCATTCCACGCCTTTAAAGAACAGCACTGCACACCGCGGCTTTTTGGATTCGACTGAAGCCTTTGGGTATCCGTTAAAGGTGAGTGTTGTTCAATGACGTAAGCTTTCTTTAAAAGTCCCGGATGGCGAATAAAACATAGTTCTATCTAGCTCAAACTTGTCGTTGAGACGGAGTCAACCATGTTATTGCTTATTCCTTTTGGGACAAATGTTGTACGTTGACTGCTAAGAAGTATAAAATTCCTGGAAGGATGCACGGCTGAACTTCGCTCAACTGTACCCTAAAATATCATTTCGTGTAAACGTCACAATTCTTCGTGTCTCGTGGAACATTCTTCACAGATTATGACTGTTTGTATCCTCTCTGAAATTTGCTCAGTTTTTATGTTTACCCCAAAAAAGTATTCAAATAAATGCCTGGTAAAGCGTGGGCTAAAAGACACGGTTTCTTGGAAAGTGGCCCCCTCCTCTCCAACAAGTTGGAGGCATCACTACGTAGAACTGAGTGGAGTTTTGGTGTTTCTTACAAGGTGGGGTTTTGTGACTGCTAGCTTACCTCCAGAAGAACAGCAGACACACGTTTTGGGATCTTGGGGCAGATGTGCCGGAAAGCAATAACGGCCCACGTTCACGGTTGAAATGCCAGGTGTGATCTAATCTCAGACACAACGAACATCGGTGGTCTGCTGTGAACAACAACAAAGCGTCGCTATTCACCAAATTTTTGATGTTCACAAGACCTATCTGGTTCAATCTGGTTTCGTCAAACGTTTGTAAATCTAAACACAGCTGCTACCTGACACAAATGAGCCGTGCGACTGGCAGGGGTATCACACAAACGACTCACCTGAGAGGCCACAACCGAAGACATATAGGTAAGGCAAAGTTCTTGGCGAAATGCACTCATTTCCATTCCATTCCCAACAGCAGATCTCGTTCATGATGTTACGTCTATGAGACGAAGTTCTGCTCTGCAAAACCGACCTGTGTAGTCAGTCAGCAATCCAGCTTGATACTTCCCCAATCATCCACCATAAAATGTTCTCGTCTCATGATATCGTTTGAAGGGAAGAAAGTTACTCATTTGCGCTTTTAGTGCATTGACTCTCTGAACTACCGTCATCTTCAAACCAATTAATACTTTCAAACCATATCTACCAGAGAATTACTCGTGCAGTGCGCCATGTGAAAGTCACGTGATCCGTTTACTTAGCTAGTGGCGCGCGGTTGCCATTGCCTGTGCAAACGGCTTTTGAATACGGAATTCAGGTCGATGTCCGTTGCCTTCATTGGTCCCCAAAAGCTCTTTCTACTGGATGTCTGTACTTTGCGAGATCCCGGTGGTGATTTTTGTGCCCAAAACGCGAGAAATCGTTAACGTTTTGGAAGCTGATAGTGGACACACTTTTCCTCGTTCGACCAGGATGACTGATGTGGTCTGAAGAGACGTTCAGCGTACCACTTCATGCCAGACTGTGGAAGGGTTGTAAAATACACGTACAAGAAGACTGCGATGTTTCTTCAAACGCTTTATACCGCGTCCTTTTACCTCACCATTTGGCTTACATTCGAAAGGCAAGCGAAATTGAAAAGGTTTTTTATATCTCAAACCACATGGAAGGGTTAGAAGAAACGTGTGAAAAAGAAAATGAGTTGCAGAAGCCAAAGATGAAGTCAAGTCACCAACCAGGAAGCTACATGTGGTCACGTGTTTTTTTCTACATACAGCGTATGAGAGGATAGCAATACACGACGGAACAGTAGAGTTGGAAACGAGGAATAAAACGCCAAAGTTGTGTTCTTGAGCCTCATTGGGAAAAGGTCAGTCTTGGAACACCGGGGTCCGGCTTTAGTCTCCTAAGTGACGGCTTTTGCTTGACACAGAACACCGCGTCATTCGACAAACACACTTATTTGTATACCCATATGGTTTTCTTAAGAGACTCACGTTTATCCAAGCTGAATCTTTCGCTTGTGATACCATTCTTTAACCGGAAGATAGGTTCAGCTGGGTTTCAGGTGATTGTGAAACCCGAATTGATATGTGTAGCTGCCGAATATGGAGCGATTTGCGTTCGAGTAGAACATAAGATTGATTGAAACTTAAGGGAGTGCGTCTACCTGATGAGCTCCAACGAGAGCAAAACCGGTAATGGGCTATCAAAGCATTTTGAGTAAGATTATGTGTAGTTTGCTCTATGAAAGCACTGTTCTCTCCGTCAGACAAAGTTGTACAAATGGCCCTTTGTATATCAGCTCCACGCTGTCGATTCTGAATCACGCGTTCACCGGCCAGAGTGCACTTGACTGCAAGCGTGAGTATTATTAGTCTGTGGAATCACTTCAACATGCATTGGGCCGCGGATGGATAGTCAGCAAATCTCACATTTGATTGGTCTGTCAAGAGTTTCGGTAAAGCGATGGTAGCGAGATGGGCCAGTAACTTTGTTTTAATGCGCTAATTTTTTGGAACGATTTTTAAAGCGGGATAAATGAGTGGTGTGTGAAAAATGTTGAAATGAGTGGTTTCATACTCTGCTAAGATATGAAGAACGCTTTGTGAAGTCTGCAGGATTGCTTAACATTGCAGATGATAATTGGAGAATAGTGTCTGACAATCTGCAAAAATTCATCAATCTGGTCTAATTTTGTTTGTGTGCACTCATTCTGTGAAGACGAGTAGCTGAAAACAGACTTTCTTTCCACCGCGGAAGTCGCGATATGCTGGTGGATAACAATAACTGAGTTTAATGTAAACGGTCTTACTTCTGTGTTCTAGGGAGTCGCTTTAATCTTTCTCATAGTAACCTGAAGCCTGGCGTACTGATTACTTCTTGCGGTAAAAAAATAATCCCATAGATTAGACAAATACACTCGTTTGTATATCGATTTATTTTTCACTGGATGCACACCCTGAAACGGGAGATTCCTCTGGGTTACAAGTGAGTTTCCCGTGGAAGCCAGATTGGTAAGCAGATAAGTGGGTAAGTAGACCTTGGTGCACTTCGGGTTCGAGTAGAACACGTGGTTGACGGCGGGTACTGGATTACCGCGCCTATCTGATGAGACCCAAGAATTCGATGCCGGTGAAAGGAAGAAGGCCTTTGCTGCGGAGTTACAGACTATTGGACAGGGAAGCAAAACTCTCGTTTGCATCTCGTTTCTCCTCGAACGCGTCTTCCTGAACTTTCCTGGATATTCATTGACTATCACTCTAACATAAACGAATGCTACAAGGCGATTCCCCGTTAGACAAAACCTAACCAGACTAGAAGTAGTCCAGAATTTACCGCTTATCTTTGTTTTTCAAGTGTTTGATTCTAATCCCCCCTCCCGTGTTCGCCACTTTCAGCCACTAAACCTCGATCGGGATTCAACTGCGTGCATTCACTGACAGCGTCTTCGAATAGAAATGGGGAATTTGGTGACCCCGAGAAAAAAGTTGAACAAAGAAGATTTGCTATTCCTGAAAGACAACACACATTTTTCGAAGAAACAAATCAAGCAATGGTACAATGGATTCATCGTGAGTTTACCGGACTGCTTTTTTGGGGAGGGGGTTGGAGCATTAGCCGCACAATGCTCTTAGCTGCATAACCTTTGCGGGTGGAGTGAATTTTTTTGCTCCAGAATGTAGTAGTTTGTTGTGTGCTCAAACCGAAAACCATATTAAGCTACGTTCATATTTTTGCAGCTCACCAAATTTTATAGTTTACTGAGGCTATCATACCTCTGGCGGAAAAGTTTGGTGGAATAATTTCCCAGCATCGCTGAAACCCCAGGATGCCTAAATGGGGCTCAGAAGTTTGGACGGGTACTCTGAACTCAATTCCCCGAGTGCCTTAGTCCGTCCAAGCTTTCGAAAATGGTGCGAATACTGAGTGCCGTTTTTTTCCTTGTTTTCGCCGAAAGCATAATCGTTCATTCTACTGTCACGTGATCTGATGACACATCGTACAGCCTTATCAGTGAAATTTAGTAACACACTGCGGTACTAATGCCCCATCTGAGGAGGCGTATTTGAACAGTTCCAAGCCACCATGCCATCCGAAGGATGATGGCACGAGGGCTGAGATACCACCAGGTTGTGCAAGTCTAGAAAGAAGAACGGTCGAGATGCCTGGGTTAGTTCCGAACCCCGAATATCTGATATGCGAGGCAAGCTGTGTCACCATCTCTTCGCCAGAACAGCCTGAACGCACAAAGGAACCGACAAACATGTTCAAGTGGAGTTCAAATTGAATTCTTCATCGCTTTAATATGAACCATCAGGGTAACCACGATAGAATAAGAACAGGTCTGGTCAAACGTGAACAAAATGACTTTAGATCGTGCTTATGAACTCAGTTCGCAGAATGAACGCTCTCTTACGGCATCTCAGAGGTTTATGTTTACCTCCAACGATCTTGAAACGATTGGATCGGCTGAACACTGTCGGATCTTTTTGTCGAGTGTATGAGAAATATGTTGATTCTGACAGTCGTGACGGCTGAACTGAACACTGTTCATTAGAATTTGATGGCTATTCAAGCGTACCTGGGTGTTTCGTGAGGTTCACGTTGATTCCTGACACACAGTCTAAAGGAGCGAGATTGAGTTTTTGAAGACAGTCCCTTTAGATTGCCGTGTCCGGTTTCAACTCGCAAAACTCCAGAAAAATTCGAACTCCAAACCTATCGACCAGTCATTGATTGCAAACAGTTCAGCTCCGAACGTCAGCGTAAGGAGATATGGACTCTCTCCATACTACCAACAAACAACAAGTAGATTATAAGGGGAAATAGTTCACGAGTTGTTTGAATTTTCCACCTGAGAAGTCGTCACTCGAGAAGTCACGTGATGTCAATTCCCCGGGTGGCGTCGTATAATTGTCCAAGTATGAGCCACCCAGAGAGCTGATTGGCCACCCGTGACCGGACGGCTGTGTTCAACCTACTAACCCAGAGGTCACTGGTTCCCAACACAGAACTCCTCAGCACATTGCTACAGAATGACTCCGCTTGCCGGACGAGATGTGGTTGAAAGACACTAGTTCACGAACAGTAGCTTCAGGCATTTAGGCTCTTTCTGGTGAACTCAAACAAGCCGCTATCCTTCGCATCTTGTCTGTTTGTGACAGTTGACGGTATTGGTCATTTTGGTTACGAAGAGTTTTTTCGCGAGTGGTTGAATTGGCTTGTAATGGCTTGGTTCATTGCATTTTTACACGTGCCCTCTTGGCCAATTTATGATTATCCGGGGACTCTAAGTCTAACTAAGGGATGGTCAAGTTGAGGAGGTGTCGTATAAGGTACGCTTCTTTTTGGTGCTCGTCACCCTGTTCGATGCTTCCAAAAATATTGATCTGGTGGCTGTTGATCTGTTCGCCAAACTTGGCACTTGCAGACTTGCATACGATTCAAACAAGCATCAATGTTGGGTGGGTGATTCCCAATGTGATGCTTGTGCTTATATAGCCTACAAAGGGTGGTTTTAGGCTATGAACTGATTGGTTGTTAATATTACTATTACTTGGAGTTTGATTGGTTCGGTCGTGATATATATGACGTTGTGGTTTAGACTTCTTAATTTTACAACGAGCGCTATTACGACGACGCTCGATTGGTGGCGAAACGTTTTCGAGTCAGTTTCCAAGCTCGGCAAACAAATCAACGGTCACGTGATCATTTATCAGTGAGTGCACCCGAGCAACCAGTATTTCAACACGTTGTCGATGACTTGAGTGCGAACGAGCTCAAGATAGTTCATCGGTCAATGCGCGAACTTGATGACGGGCCCAAGGATAGAACCTCAGTAGCTGGACTGCGCATGTCTACGCTTAGGCATCCTGGCACTATCTTAGCTCTCGTGCTTTTTTCGGGTGCCAGTGGACACCAACTGAATGTTTGAGCCAATCGATTAACTGATAGTTTCTACCTTTGACAAACCAGCTGAAATCCTTTTGAGCAGAGAATTTCTCATCGGAACTGCGCTTGTTTTTTTTGGAATTTTGGAATATAATTAGCAACAACACCTTCGAAAACAGGAACTATTACATTTGTCCACGTGAGAATTGAAAAGCCTAGTTTCTGTTGTTCGCAGTTAGAAAGCGCGTTTTCGGCTGTGCAATGGGTACTTCCATTAAAGCATGTGTCCAGCGCCAGAAACTGCGTTGGCTGGGACATGTATTGCGTATGCAGAACCATCGTTTGCCGAAGGGAGCGCTGTATTCCATGCCCAATTCAGAGTGGCGTAAACAGAGAGGTGGCCAACCCTTGACTTGGCAGAGCAGTATGGAGGGGATCACGAAACGCTTGGGTGCTGTCGGTGCTAATCGCCTTCCAGGATGGGGACCGCGTGATCCTCACTGTGCCTGGTTGGAGGTACTATAAGATACGGCTGCCAACCGATGTCAGTGGCGTTCCTGTTGTCAGTTTCTATCCAGATTGTTTGAGTGAATTAGGCACCTCGGAATAATTGTGGTAAGCTAGCACTAAGTCCCTTCCCCATCCACCTTTATTCTTTTCTTTACAATAAGGCTTTCAAATAAATCATGGTTGTACGGCAGTGAAGCATCGGTGTTGAACATTGATGTCATGCCATCGATGATGATGATGATGATGATGATTTCGTTACGGTTCCCATAAGTAGGATCTTGTTAAGATAGAACTTCTATCTTTGAAGAAACTTCATCCGGGGGTTGTCTGGTTTCATTGGTTCTACCAGAACCCGTTTTTCCTCAAGCAGAAGAAAACAAGGCCGCAACAATGGCACCAGTTGTCTTTCAGCAATTCCGTAAGTACCAGGTATGGCAATACCGATGGTCAGCCAGGGCCATCTCAAGATGCTTGCCGAAAGGGTAGAAGCATAAACCTTGGTACATCGATTAATCCAATCAGAGAATGACACGTGTTTCTTTACTTGTCTGCAGAAAGATAGGCTTAAATTTACCCATTTTCGAAAAGAAACGAAATCCGTTTGCTTCGATTCGACCTTCAAGCAGAACACACAATCGAGTTTAATTCATCCAAACCAAATTGGAGCGTATGCTGTTTACGTCATCCGAGAGTATGACGGGTCTCTGCATCAGTTCAAAAAACACCGCAATCAGATGGTTGCTCAGGGTGAATGTAACCGACACTGACCTCCTCTCATCATCATCATTGTCAGCTGTAAGAACCGCGTACTTGTCGTACAGTGGTTGTAGCCGCTGCAGTTCTGTTCACCGAAGATGCGGGGAGGTAGGGTAGGTAGCTTCCCATTAAAGGCGGGAGCTGATAAGTTGGTGCATGTATACAGCATTGTAGGTGGACCGTTAAGCGGGGGAATCGGGAAGGGAGCTATGCATTGAAGGCAACAGCTTGGATGCATGAGCGCCATTGAGGGAGCGACTGGGTCATGTCTGACAATGTCTCCTACAGTCGATATGGCCCGTCTCGGGGCCCCATCCAGGAAGACGGCTGTTGTAACGGTATTTTCCTCAGCTTAGTTCTCGGTCTAAGCCTCCCAAGCTAGCGTTCACGTCAAAACAACCACCAAGGGTGCACAAGGTCTATTAACGCCCAAAACGAAATCAGGAACAGTTGTACAGCGCTTCGTATATATAGCGTAAGCGGCTATAACTTTCTGGAATTTCTGACGCGTTCTGGAGCTCCATTGGCAACCGGCATTTGGCCAATACTGGGTCATGATTGGCTGTTGGGTCCAGATTGTTGACCAATCAGATCTCGTCTTGATGCCGGACCGGCAAGCGTCCCGAATTTTGGGCCAACCTCGAGCGGGCCAGGCTTCTCGGCCGTAGCAGCGCCTAAAGACGTGCGGTATAGTGGTATCCGCGTGGATTCCTGCCTAACAACGGCAGTGACCAGCGCAGCAGAATTTGCTGGTAATGGCTTTTATGCTTCGCTACCAAGTCACTGTTTGACCGCCTTTAGCTCTCTTCCACCCTTCACATGGTTGTGCGAAAAGAACCCTTCGAGGAAGTCGGTCAACTGGCATACGCGTTGAGACACAGGAGGAAGGATAAAATAAAAGGACGAGAGGAAATCACATTCAAGGCTAATGGTTGAACGCCTAACCCTTCGACCTTGAGCGGTTAAACTGCCATGTGATTAGCGCCCACCTAGACGGGGTTTAGCACCAATTGTTATTCGTATACGGAATTCACTTCACGTGGTTATGTATTGATCGGTTCCCGGAGTGACAACCGCTCAGAAGAAAGTAATACTCAGAAGTTTGTGGTCGGGAGACTACGTTTCTGTCTCCTTCCTGTAAGTTGAGTCAATCTGTGCTGAGAAGCACTGTACGGTTGTTGCACACTTATGTTTCGCAATAATAGTAAAACATATGTGCAGATCTGCTTGGCTTTAAGGTGCATACCGACCTCGTTTTCTAGATGAAAACTGAATTAAAAATGTCCAAATTCCATCAATTTCTCAACAGTTTCCCGGAATCCACTGACTCACTGTCCCAGAACATACCCTTGGTGGCGATAGTACTTGTTTATCGGTTTCACGGTTGAAATAGTTTGGGAAATAAGCTTTTCAG